TTATACCTTACATGTGCAGTTTGTAAGAGGGAGGAAGTGAGGATCAAAGCAAAAAGGTATCTGATCGACATTGATAACAAAACAGAATCAATGGTGAGGTCATGGTGACCTTATTTAAGTCCATGCTTGGCACAAAATGTTTTTTTTTTGTTTTTAATATAGTCATCGTACCTGTTTTATGACTTTGTATGGTTATTTTTAAATATATCATACACTATATTCCCAAAGGTTTGTGGAGCGTGGTGGGCATCTTAATCCAAAACCATGGACATGGAGTTGGCCCCTCTTTGAAGGTACATCGGTCTCCATAGACTTTCCATGGGAGTGTGTCTGTGTAGACGTGTGCCCATTAAGCCAAAAGAGTATCTGTGAGGTCAGGTACTGATGTTGGGTGAGAAGACCTGGCTCACGCATGATGTTCCAATTATCCCAAAGGTGTTCAGCAGGGTTGAGGTCAAGGGGTCTTACTCAAGCTCCTTGAGCAAACCATGCTTTGTGCACTTGAACCCAACAAAAGAGGGGTGTCCACATCCATTTGGGCCATATAGTGCCCAAAATGACCTTGCATTTTGAGTCTTGTATGTTTTTAAAATAGGTCAAGGCAACTGGACTCGCTGTATCATGACCTGGATGAATGAGAACCTTCACAGACATCTTGTATGTTTAGCAAGTATTTTGTAGTGACCCCTTCGGCCCTCTCTCTGTTTTGGCAGATGTCTAAGCTGTATTGGTATGAGAGATTTAATACGTGGGCAATATTAATCTATTCATGATCAGTGTCACACCATAATAGGGTTCTCTCTAAGGTTCTGCATGCTCTGGTGTTGGTTTGCACTGTTTGGAGAAATGCAACACCATTCTACTCTTGATTGGCCAAAATGTGTCAGGTCATGATCGCAGCTGCTACAAAGGCGTTGTCAAGACGGGTTTTGATTGTCTTGTACGTTGGATGGGCCAGAGCATAAGACTGCTCTTCAAAGCCTGTTCTGTGTGAGAGGGGGTCCTTGGTGGACACGTGTGTGGGATGTCAGGTGGCTTGCATCATAATGGGATATGGCCACTCCCCAGTACAACAATTAACTCCGAGTTAGAACATTGGAACCCACGGTGTATTGTTGCCTTTGGCTATATAGGCTAAAGCTGAGGAGCACCACACACTGGACCCCCTCCTGTCTACAGTAAACCACTGAAAGCATTTGCTTAGGACTAATGAAGTCAGCACTAGATCCTCAATGGCTGGAAAACATCTGATCTGATTAATTCCCTTCGCAATTACAATCAGGGCCGGATTTCCCACAAGACCACCGAGGCCCGGCCTTGGGGCGGCAGGGAGTAGAGGGGCAGCACGGCCGCCGGGCGGGTGGGTGGTTTTTTTCTACATTTAGCCCTGCTTCGGGCAATCGAGGAACCCGGCCTTGGGGCGGCAGGGAGTAGAGGGGCAGCACGGCCGCCGGGCGGGTGGGTGGTTTTTTTCTACATTTAGCCCTGCTTCGGGCAATCGAGGAACCCGGCCTTGGGGCGGCAGGGAGTAGAGGGGCAGCACGGCCGCCGGGCGGGTGGGTGGTTTTTTTCTACATTTAGCCCTGCTTCGGGCAATCGAGGAACCCGGCCTTGGGGCGGCAGGGAGTAGAGGGGCAGCACGGCCGCCGGGCGGGTGGGTGGTTTTTTTCTACATTTAGCCCTGCTTCGGGCAATCGAGGAACCCGGCCTTGGGGCGGCAGGGAGTAGAGGGGCAGCACGGCCGCCGGGCGGGTGGGTGGTTTTTTTCTACATTTAGCCCTGCTTCGGGCAATCGAGGAACCCGGCCTTGGGGCGGCAGGGAGTAGAGGGGCAGCACGGCCGCCGGGCGGGTGGGTGGTTTTTTTCTACATTTAGCCCTGCTTCGGGCAATCGAGGAACCCGGCCTTGGGGCGGCAGGGAGTAGAGGGGCAGCACGGCCGCCGGGCGGGTGGGTGGTTTTTTTCTACATTTAGCCCTGCTTCGGGCAATCGAGGAACCCGGCCTTGGGGCGGCAGGGAGTAGAGGGGCAGCACGGCCGCCGGGCGGGTGGGTGGTTTTTTTCTACATTTAGCCCTGCTTCGGGCAATCGAGGAACCCGGCCTTGGGGCGGCAGGGAGTAGAGGGGCAGCACGGCCGCCGGGCGGGTGGGTGGTTTTTTTCTACATTTAGCCCTGCTTCGGGCAATCGAGGAACCCGGCCTTGGGGCGGCAGGGAGTAGAGGGGCAGCACGGCCGCCGGGCGGGTGGGTGGTTTTTTTCTACATTTAGCCCTGCTTCGGGCAATCGAGGAACCCGGCCTTGGGGCGGCAGGGAGTAGAGGGGCAGCACGGCCGCCGGGCGGGTGGGTGGTTTTTTTCTACATTTAGCCCTGCTTCGGGCAATCGAGGAACCCGGCCTTGGGGCGGCAGGGAGTAGAGGGGCAGCACGGCCGCCGGGCGGGTGGGTGTTTTTTTTCTACATTTAGCCCTGCTTCGGGCAATGGAGGAACCCGGCCTTGGGGTGGCAGGGAGTAGAGGGGGCAGCACGGCCGCCGGGCGGGTGGGTGTTTTTTTTCTACATTTAGCCCTGCTTCGGGCAATTGAGGAACCCGGGCCTTGGGGCAGCAGAGAGAGTAAATCCAGCCTTGATTACAATACTACAATGTTACCTAGCGCCTTTGGGATGATCTTAAAGGGCATATAGTGGTGTCCCTGCCACCATGAATACATGGTCCTCAACAAGAGTTTTTATTTTTCTGGTCCCTGAGGGTACATACGTCTTTATCTACAGAATCTACCTTTTCTGTTCTCAGTTATCTAAAACACTGGTGACATTATCTTCTGGGTACAAAATGACCTTCCCGATCCAAGTCGTCTCCGGGGGCACAACAGATTTATGTACAGGTATATTTGTAAGACTTCCCGTGGTTCCTGGTCCCTAAGAGGTGACTCTACGTGACCCGTCAACTCTCACAAATGTATTCGCTCTCCCTGTTATTGTAATAAGATTAAGACTGCAAAAATTATCAAGAAGATGAATTAGTACAACACTTCACATCTTTTTTTTTTTCTTTTAAAAAAAAACCAAAACAAAAAAACAAAAAAAAAAATTAGCATCTGAACAATTTCTTTCATAGAAAGAAAACATTTATAGTTGAATAGTTCTACTGGTGGATAGCAGCATTTCAAGGGAAGAACTGATTTTTGATTAGTGCTTTCTACAGTCCAGCCAAATGTTCGACTTTGAGTTACGTTCAAGGCAACAAAGTATCTCTCCTTTGAGATGTGGAACTTTTTTTTTTGTCTTGCGAGAGATAACATTTGGGTCAAATTTTATTAGCAGGACGAACTGGCTTTTTTTTTTTTTCTCGTGATTCACAAGTAAAGGAATGATGAAACTGTTAACTACAACTAGGCGGAAAGCAACGGTAAGTAGCCGGAGACTGTCAAGTAGAGCACAATAAGTAGTTGGGCACGTAACACAAAAATACAGAGCGTACAGTATATATTAAGATGATTCTTTCAGTAGTCAAAGACACGTGGTTTTTAAATAATGGCTTAATTCTGGTTTAAACCTTTTTGTTCCAGTTTCATTTGAGAGCCGTGAAAGGTGGGCAAACATGTTAAGTGCACTGTCCCCGTACTAGGAATCCTGTTCAGTAAAACTGTGCCGAGTCATCCTTAAAGGAGAACTATGAGGTGAATGCTTTTCCCTCACCTCATAGTTCTAGCCGACCTGTGACAATGAGACAGTCACAGGTCGGCTCAGTAGATCGGGAGGTGAGCGAACACATACCGACGTTCGCTCACTTCTCGATCCTGTCACGACTCTCTGCTGTGACAGGGGAGGGGCTGGATTCCCCCCTCCCCCCTCCGATCCCCCAGCGCTGACTGCCGGAACGGACGGGGGAGGGGGCGGGTACAGCTGGCTCTGGATCTAGATAGGCAAAGCCAACTGTCAGTCACGCAGCTGGGCGGATCCAGACATAATTGTCGGGATCCGCTTCAGCTGCGGCGTCTCAGTATACCGCGAGCTGTAGCTCCCTATATACTGAGCCTAGGGTGATGGGAGGACGCTAGTTTGTGTCCTCCCGTTACCCTAAGGAGAACTATGGGGAAAAGCCCTGACCCCATAGTTGTCCTTTAATAAAACTGCTATGTGGTCTGTCTTAGAAAATGTTCCTATCGTTGGCTAGTCCCACTCATACAACCAACCTGTTACACCATATTTAGCTCTGACCACTTGCCTTAATCAAGCTACCTAGCAAAAATTAGGATGGTGCTAAAAATGTGAGGGACTGGTGGGCCATGACTGACTAGGCACTGTTAAGCCATGACTCGACTATACACTGAGTTGCCAGATTATTATGACCACCCCATCGGTACTTCGTTGGGCCGCCTCGTGACTCCACGAGATGATGAAAGGTGATGCGAGGAATCTGACACGGCGCTGTTGCCCTTCTGTTGTCTTGTACCAGTCTTGCCCCTCCCCCGTTCTGCCCTAACATTGACTAGTCGCTGACGGCCACAATTCGCACGTTCAGACCCAGATTTTCGGCTGACAGTCCGGTCTTTAAACACTTTAACAACAGCTGCTCTTGAACATGTAACGAATTCTGCTGTTTTGCTGATACTCGCTCCATGGCTCTGAGCGCCAACAATCATCCCACGTTCAAAGGCTGTTACATCGCGTTGTTTCCCCGAATCTTCAGAAACAAATCACTTCTACTGTCGTGGTAACCAACCCGCTTCCCTATTTATAATGGTCTGGCCCTCTAGCAACTTCAGCGCCAAATTATAGCTCATTTGCCTACAAACGTCAGGTGGTCATAATAATCCGGCCACTCAGTGTATATAATAATCCGGCCACTCGGTGTATATAATAATCCGGCCACTCAGTGTATATAATAATCCGGCCACTCAGTGTATATAATAATCTGGCCACTCTGTGTATTTAGCTCTGACCACTTGCCTTAACCAAGCTACCTAACAAAAATTAGGATGGTGCTGAAAATGTGAGGGACTGGTGGGCCATTTGCTAAAATTTTACGCAATGTTAAGCCATGACTCGACTCTATATAATCGCTACAGATGTGTTGAAATGAATGGCTATATCTAGATCAACCTACAAGAAAGGCATCGGCATTTTTTTTCCGTCAATTGGAAAAACAATTGACTTGGAATGTTGTATCAATGATTCACTTTTTGAGCAGGTGAAGCATAATTCAAAACATTTCAGACATCAGCAGTGGAACCTTAACAGCGAAGTGTGAAAAGTTGTTCTTTTCGCCAGAATCACGTCTGGCTACAAAAATTGGCCCATCCAACCGACGGTGGGGTAACAGCGGGGTTGCTTCAAGAAATTTCAGACTAAGTAGAAGGCTACTTTCAAGGAGAACCTTGGGATTTCCAAGACGCCGTTAGACTTTTTACTAGTCAAGCGGTCTCAAGTTTTTTTTGTAATATCGAAAAAGGACTCACTGAGCCGAAGCCTGGAAAAACCAGACTCAAGTTTGTGTTTTGGAAGGTAAAAGTCTTGCCACGCGAATGGCTGCTTATTTGCACGTATGGACATCGTACACCCTCACGCACTCCTGGCAGCTGACGTAGCAGCACCAGTGGAAGATGCAGTGGCACTTCTCTTTCCTTTTCTCAGTCCTCGTGTTGTGCCCTCGTCCGCAGCACAACAGGTCGCACCCATCAATCCCGTGAGAGGTCACGTTGCATATCCTGTCTCGGGTTCCGAACGATCCGGTGTCTGGGTTGGGTTCGCAAAAGTTGGGGGAGCTCTCGTAGTAGATGAGGTCCCGCTCCGTGGGCGGCTTGAAAAAAGTATATTTCGGCCTCAGGGTCTCCACCCAACCGCGGGATTCCCGGTGCTTCTCCACCACCATTTCGGAAGCACTGTCGTACTTGTCCTTGAGATAGTCGCCGATCAGTCTGAAGTCTGGCTGCGACCACCAGCAGGTCTTCACCTCGCAGCTTCCGGACAGGCCGTGGCATTTACATTTCAGGTGTCTGTGGTCAGTGATGGACTACAAAAGAAAAGAACAAATATATAAATAATCTCAAGGTTTAGCCAGTAACATGAAACAAAAACATTTGGTTAAAGTGTATCTAAAGCCAAAACTTTTTGTTTTTCAGAGTATGGAAGGTGTTGAACCCCTAGAAGCAGGGGCGACCCAAGGCCGGGTGTTACCTGGAATGGAGACCAGGTGACACCTTACCGTAACGTCATCACGCATCCACGGCCATCTAATTGATGCCTGCCGGCGTCCATCACTGTGAGAGAGGAGGGGACGTTCATCCGGCGGGATGAGGTATGCCGCCGGGTCCCCTCCTCTCTCCTGACACTGTCGGGCTCTCGGTCCATGACCAAGTGCCCGACATTTTAGAGGGAGTGACACCAAAACGACTGTCACCAGTGAGCAGGGAGCCAGCTTCCCAGCCAATCGGGAAGCTGGGCGCTGTGTAATGAGAGTAGTTGAGAAGCTGGCCAACCAGGAAGCCAGGGGGCAAGTCATTACCCACCCCCTGGCTACCTGATCGCCAAGAAAGCCGGCTCCATGCTCCCTTGTCACCTGGTGACAAGGGAGCATGGAGATGGCTTCCCCGCTTATCGGGAAGCCGGGTGGCGAGTCTTTACACACCGCCTGGCTTCCTTAATGGAACTTCTGGTATCGGTATTTGGTATCGGTGAGTACCGGGAAAAAAATATCGGAACTCGTACTTGATAAAGAAAAAACGATATTGTGACGAGAAGCATGGAGCCGGCTCTCTGGCCAATCAGGAAGCCAGGCGCTGTGTAATGACGTGGTACCCAGCTTCCTGACTGGCTGGGAAGCCGGCTCCCTGCTCCATTGTCATGAGGTGGCGAGGGAGCATGAAGCCGGCTTCCAGGTCAAACAGGTAACCGGGCGGCGCGTCATTACATGCCGCCGGGCTTCCTGATTTGATAGAACACCTGCCCAGGAATGCCCTCTCCTTCAGACCGACACCCGCTCATCAAGGCATTTTGATATTTGCATAACTCCTCCCACTGCTTGCATCAGGGCACGGGGGCTCTTTAAAGACCACAACGTTATCACCATGCCGGGTATCTTACCGTCCTCCCGGCCTCGTTGTTGTGCCTGTTCATGGCGGATCGGGCGTCCGGTCTGTTCTCGCGGGCGTCGGCGAATTCCCGGGACACCATGCTGCCGAAATCCATGTCTTCGCTGCAGCCCCCCCACTTCCAGCCTTCCCCCGGGGGGCCCTTGTGATGGTTGTCGCAGCCGCAGATGGTGGCCGTGCCCTCCGCGCAGGCCCGGGTGACGGCAAAGGCCACCCCGGCCGAGGCGATGGCGTGAACGAAGGCCGACTCCCGGGTGGCTGCAGAGAGAGACAAATGGTAGGAGTTAGATTCCTGAGCGACCGGGAAAGAAAACTCGCAGGAAGTGACACGTTTGTGGGCGCGCCCGGCCCGGGGAACGTGATCGATATCATTATTACGTAACAGCCGCCATCATCACCATACAGCACCATTCAGCATTACTATGCAGCCAATCATCGCTCATTCAGTATTCGGTTCCTTTTACCTCCATGACAAGCAATGTGCAACAGTGTAACACTTACAGGCATTAACTACCTCCCACAGAGATCACATGACTCCCCCTACAATGCATTCATCTGCTTTTCTCTCCAGAAGGACGGAGCCATCTCTGTTCAGGCATCACCCAGTGTCACCATCTACTTCCTGGACTGACATGCTGGCACAGAGATGACACAATCATGTCAACCCTGCTGCCTGTGCAGTTCTGACACAGATCAGCCTCTGACTGCAGCCTCTCACCTTGTTACTTGCTACAACGTTACAATGTTGCAGTCTGATCACTTGGGGGGAGGGGGGACTGAGGAAATGCTTCCTCCTGCCTGCAGCAGTCTGATCACTGGGGGAGGGGAGACTGAGGACATGCTTCCTCCTGCCTGCAAAAGACTGATCACTGGGGGAGGGGAGACTGAGAAAATGCTTCCTCCTGCCTGCAGCAGACTGATCACTGGGGGAGGGGGGACTGAGGACATGCTTCCTCCTGCCTGCAGCAGACTGATCACTGGGGGAGGGGGGGCTGAGGACATGCTTCCTCCTGCCTGCAGCAGTCTGATCACTGGGGGCGGGGAGACTGAGGAAATGCTTCCTCCTGCCTGAAGCAGACTGATCACTGGGGGAGGGGAGACTGAAGACATGCTTCCTCCTGCCTGCAGCAGACTGATCACTGGGGGAGGGGAGACTGAGGACATGCTTCCTCCTGCCTGCAGCAGACTGATCACTGCATGCAAATACATCCTGCCTTGGAACGCCCACTCCTCCAGACTGACAGCCACCCATCAAGGCATCTTGATATTTGCATAACTCCTCCCAAGATCCAGCCCATTACTTGCAGGGTGCCTCCCCCCCCCAGCCATGAACTGCCTGCATTGTATAGAGAAGCACAGAGAGAAATGTTTAATTTAATCATTTAATGATCATGTTGATAAGAAGGGGAGGGGGGGAGACTCCGGCACTGAAAGGGTGTGTGCCGCGTTTCGGGCCGCAGCCAAGGAGAACACAAACTGTGTAACACACTTAATCCGGGGCGCAGATCCACCGATAACACAACCGCTGGAGGGAAGAACGCCGACTCCCGAAAAAGGGGCACGCGGCCAGAAAATGGGGGGAAGGAGGGGGCTCAGGGTGCAGCGGGCTAAAGGGGCACCCCGGGGCAAGAGCTGAGCTACGCGGCAGCATTGCATCCAATGGACAGAGTGGAAGGCCAAGCACACTCCAGCTGCTGCGGAACTACAAGTCCCATGAGGCACTGCAAGACTCCGGCAGCCACAGGCATGACTCCCAGAGGCAGAAGCATGATGGGATCTGTAGTTTCAGCACAGCTGGAGTGCCAAGGTCTAGAAAGCTGAACTCCAGGCCCGATGCGGGGCGACACCCGGTGCGGGTACCGTGTGATGTGATTGCGTACGCGTGTGACGTCATCACGCTTGCGCGCGATGACGTCACGCGCGGTACCGCTGTTACCTGCCGGCAGCCATCTTGGTGATGGACGCCGGCAGAGAGGAGGAGGGGGCACCACCTGGCGGGATGAGGTATGCCGCCGGGTCTCCTCCTCTCTCTCTCGAGCAGCTGTCAGGCTCTCGGTCCTTGACCGAGTGCCTGACTTTTCAGAGGGGGGGGTGACACCAAAATGACTGTCAGTAATTTTGGTGTCACCCCTCCAACGGTGTCACCCGGGGGCACCCCCCGCACCCCCCTTGTGACGTCACAGCTCCAGGCAAGCAGCTAAAACACTAGTATCGGAGCTGATTTAGCTACCAAAGGATTTATTAGCCCGTCCATCCAGTCCCGAGATTTACACAGCTCCGCCGCACAGCACGGCCCTGTTTTTGAAAGCTGAAGGTTAATGTTCCATCAGCATGTTAACCCCTTAAGGACCTTTTTTTTTTCTTCATTTTTTGCATCGATGATATAATCCACATTTTAGGCCTGAAAATGACTTTAAACCCCCCAAAGATGATATGTTTTCTGAAAGCCGAGACCCTGTAGAATAAAATGGCGGCAGTTGCGAATTTTTAGGTCGCACGACATTAGCGCAACTTATTATCAAACCCAAAAATGTAGAGAAAAATGCACTTAAGTTAAGTTTAATACCCGGAAACACTATATAAAACCATTTCTGGGGGTAAAATATAAAAGATGAGGTTACGACGAGTAAATAGATACCCGACATGCCCGGGTTATAAATTGTGTGCGTTCGTGAAACTGCGACAGAATTCAGTACCCCCAAAATGCCATAGATGAAGCTTTAAAAGCCCCCCACGAGTCATCAGGTTAAAGATTCGTGTAAATACTGGCACCAGAATGATTGCTCTAACTCCGGCGTGCGCGGCGATACCCAACATGTGTAGCGCGATCGTCGTTTTCGTACGTAGGCGCACCCGACGCATGTTTACGTGACGACGCACGCGCTCGCGGGGGCGGGGACTTTAAAAATGTTTTTATTATTATTTTTACATTTATTTTATTTAATATTCATTTTAAAACCCTTCAGACTTCATGACGGGATTATCCCCTCATGGGTCGTGAAGGGGTTAATGACATTTTCTAACCTTTCCATTCTCTTATAATAGGATTTCATGTCAGTTCCTGTTGTGTCTACGGGACAGGAAGTAGGGATGCACCGATACTAGTATCGGTACCGATGCCGAGTATTTGGGCGAGTACTCGTAGTTACCAAAATGCTCCGATGCCTAGCCCGATACTTCCGGGAAGTCAAGAAGCCGGGCAGCGAGTCATCACACGCTACCGGGCTTCCTGATTGGCTCTATGCTCCCTCATTGCCTTGACTTATTTTTTTACAGATATCCCTCATCACTTGGTGACGAGGGAGCATGGAGTTGGCTTTCCGGCCAATCAGGAAGCCGAACAGCGTTTCATGCCCCCCCCCGGCTTTCTTATTGGCCAGAAAGCCGGCTTTATCCTCCTTCGTCACCTGATTGACGAGGGAGCACAGGGGGCGGCTTCCGGGCCAATCAGGAAGCCAGGCGCCGTGTAATGACACATTGCCCGGCTCCTTGATTGTCCAGCTTCTCGACCAATCGGGAAGCTGGGCGACGCGTCATTACACGGCGCCCGGCTTCCTGATTGGCCAGAAAGCCGGCTCCATGCTCCCTCGTCACTTGGTGATGGCTTCCCTGCTAATCGGGAAGCCGGGTGGCGAGTCATTACACACCGCCTGGCTTCCTTAGGCCCCGTTCACACTTAGCGATTTATCGCGCGGTAATTCCAGCGATATCGCGGCAATTTACCGCGCGATATCGCTCTCCAATGCTTCTCAATGGGGCAAAGGGTCCTGCTGTCGCGGGTCGTGCGTCGCTACAGCAGGACCCTTTTTGGAGCGGATTTAGCCGCGATTCAAGCTTGCTCAATGCAAGCATTTGCGCGATATCGCGCAAAATGCAAATCGCGCGACAAACGCGCGATTTGCGAATCGCGCAGTGTGAATGGGGCCTTAATGGGACTTCCGGTATCGGTATTAGACATGTGCGATTCGTTTCGTTACGAATCGAAATTCGTACGAATTTTCCTGAAATTCGTAAATTCGGAAGCATCCGAAATCCGAATTGCAGTTTCCGAATTATATCCGAAATACGAAATTCCGTTAACGATTCGTTCGAATTTCTTTGAAACGGGAACCCCTGTAAATGAGGTTGAACAACATGACAAGATTTTTTTTTAATCCGAAATACGGATCCGCTGCTGCTGATGCATTACAATACACAGGCAGGAAATACGAAATTCCGTTGACGTATTTTCGTTCCGTTACGAACATTCGTTATATTATTGAAGGTAAAAAGCAAAGTACATTTATATTGGAGTTGATGGTAGTTTTTTTTATCCGAAATACGAAATTCGGATCCGGAATCCGTTAACGGGAATTCGTATTTCGGATAAAAAAACAACTACCACATCGACTCCAATATTAACAAAGGTATTTCTGCTTTTTAACTTCATCATAACGAATGTTCGTAAAGTTACGAAAATGTGCCGAAACTAACGAAAATCCGTATTTCGTACGAATCCGAATTGAGTTTCGGATACGAATTACGAAATACGAAATAACGGATATTCCGAAACTGAACAAATTTTTTGACGGCGCACAAGTCTAATCGGTATGCGGTATCGGCGAGCAATGGAAACAAAATATCAGTACTCGATACCGAAATATCGGTTGTGGTTTCGGTGCATCCCTAACAGGAAGTGAAGGAAAATCTCTCCAAATACAAATAGAAAGTTGCGGCTTTAGATATATCTTAAAGTGGAACTATATATAGCAACCCAATAACACATAAAGTATGCGCTGCAACACTCATCTGCAACGTCTCGCCAATGCAGCTTCCTGTGATGGGGGCGATCTTTCTTCCCAATAGTATTAAAATGTCATCAAATAACAACAACAAAAAAAACAAACAAAAAAAACAGAGGAAATGTTATCACTCAACGGTAAAGGTAATTAGTGCAATTTGATAATTAGTGCAATGAACGATGTAATAAATCCATAAGTGGATTTGGGGTAAGAGAGGTCTGAATCCTGAACATAAACATTTTTTTTTTATTTACAGGTTACAGCAAGTCCTCCTTCCCCCAAAATAAAAAATAAAAAAATCCAATAGGTCCCGAAAAGGATTTAAGGGTAAGAGAGAGCTCTGGAATCAAGGACAAGCTGTTTTTTTTTTTGTTTTTTTCACAGGTTACAAGGCATCCTTCTCCAAAATAAAAAAAAATAAAAAAGTAATTTACTGTAATAAATCTTGAAGTGGATTTGGGGTAAGAGAGGTCACAG